AAAAAAAAAAAAAATAGCTGCAGCGGGCGAGACTATCTATCGGAAAGACACGCTGTTTTAAAATATTTTGTGATTTTTCTGAATCAAATTTTACGCTGCGTGAAGACAGGAAAAAAAAAAAAAAAATTTGTAGAGGAAGTGAACCCCGGGTGGTGGGCGGTCCGAGGGTCTCCCAGCGCTCTTCTCCTACCACTAATCCACACGAAAAAACTTAAGGCTCTATACATATTTAGAGTGCCCCCATGCCACAAAGACTCTATACATTTACAAATAGCCATACCTTCTCCGGAATTCGAACCCACAGCCGCCGGTCCGGTAGGCAGAGTCACTAACCACTATCCCGTTTTGGGCGGCTGAAAAACGTAAAAAGGAACCCATTTGAAAATTTATTTACTTACATTACAAATAATTTTGAATCCTTTAAAGTTTCTAATAATCCAACAGTACGTTTTTTTATGCATTAGCTAAAATAGAACTAAAATCTCCGTACATTTTCAGAAATTTGCAGGTTGTATTCGTTTGGTTAGCTTAACAAATATATCTTAAGAAGGGTTCTAAGGAATCCTAGAAATCCCAGATAGTTTGTGGCTAAAAAATAACAAAATTCTCAGACATTGCTTAAGTGAGTCCGTGATATTTGTTGAACTTTAAAAAAAATCTGATGTGAACATTACATAACATTTACGACCTATTAAATTAGACACATTTTTTTCTGCACTTAATTTACACTTATTTCCTCGAATTATTTTACCTTTATTAACCGATCCCTCAAGGCAAATTAGAAATGACATAAATTACAAATTTTACTCCCAAATTCGAGTTCTTTTCTACGTTATGTACTACTACTGGAAAAGGGCAACTAAAACTAATATTAACCAATCATAGCTTGTTTCTAGAATCGCACTTACTTTAGTATAAATATATCTCGCGAGCTAATAGGCCACGTGACCAGCTAAACAGTGCATGACCACAGGCCTTTTACAGCTCCGTCAAGTCTTGGCATTTTCTTGCAGGAAGCAATGGGCTTCAAAGGTTTTCTCACCTCAGATTATACCTCACCTGGAGAACTTTCGGACTTCCTCAAACGTCAGGCCCAATTCGGTATTCACTCAGAAATCTGGAAAGAGCAAGGACAGGAATTCCCCGCTGCATACCAGAATAATGACAATAGTATCAAAGTATCATATATTACGTCATTATTCTACTAGCTTCTACATTGCTAATATCTTCCCGCTTGGCTTCTTTAGAATGCCTGCGTCATTCTTTTTTAAAAACCAATGTGTATATGAAATTATCGTAATTGTATGATTAAAGAGTATGTTGTCTACGAGAAATTATTCTAATGTGCCTGGAAATCTGGAAATAATAATTGACTATCAACTTCTTCCTCTCGCCCTATCACTCAGCCATCGCGACTCTGCTTCGAAATCATCATATATATTATATATTATATACGTTTGATATTACCCCGATTGCAATGCAAAACGGAGGTGCATAACTACATGTTATAGCAGTCCCACGTGCAAAATTTATGCGTTCTACGACTAAATGTTTTTCAGTTATGTGAGATACATACATGCGGATGGACACACGTCACGAAAAAATCCTTTTCGAATCCAATTTAAATCCCTTCTACAATCCGTTTTGGGGAGGGGAGAAGAGTCCTTTATTTTGTTCATGTGGGAAAAAAAATCCGTCACATAAAAAAAAAAAAAATCATCCAAACAGATATTTCCGTTCAAATACGGTACTCGAAAATTTCGCGATTACAATACTTTTACTTCGTACAAGGAAACAAAAATAAAATATCTAATATGTACACCACAAGCCTATCTTATGCGGAATATTAAATTATACACAATTTTTTGCTGCCCTTTATTTAAACTTATTTTTCTCGAATTTCATTAGAGATATATTTCTATTCAGTTCTCACTTCACAGAAAGACAAAAATACATGAAAACTCAAAACACCTTCATTAAAAATTATAAAATAATAGAAAAACTTAATACCAAGTATAGTGCAAAACAGTTAAAAAATGTTTTATATATAAGTAAAATTAGAATTTCAGCGCTAAAACAAGCAATTCCACCAACGGCCAAGAAGACAAAATTCTTCGTGTAAAGAATTGAAAGTTAACTTTTGGTCCCACTTACAAAAAGACACTGAATTTGGTGCACCAACTGACTTAATTCATTGTTCTTCAACTAGTTTCAAATGTCAAGCAAATGGCGCCCTTGTAAAGCCCTAGCACCACATAAACTATTCAATTGTTGATAATTCTACAATTATTGCATGCAGATTAACTAAAACCATAAAAACCTTAACCGGAACATAAGAACAACGTAATTCAATCACTTTTAAAGTAAAAAATGCACAATTTACCAACATATAAGAATAAAAATATTAAGCTCACCCAGCCGGGTAACTGTATATATGCTTTGGTGCGGCCGATTGCAACGAAAAAGGGAGGTACACAACTAGATGCTAAAGTAGCCCCACATAAACAAAATATCAACGTTCTACGACTACTCGTTCTTGAGTTATGCGAGATACATGTACAAGTGTACGTATGTACAGACGTCACAAAAAAACAGTCTCTTCTGAATCCATTTTAAATTCCTTTTACAATCCGTGCTGGAAGAAAGGGTCTTTTATTGTGTCCGTACGTAGATGTCACACGAAATAATAATAATAATAATAATAATAATAATAATTCAAAATGGATCCGTGTGCGGTCAAAATGGATATTTTCGTTGAATGTATGATACTCGAAATTTTTCACGATTATACTTCCTTTACTTCGTACAACGAAATAAAAATAATAATTAAAAAAGACACAAAACAAATCTGAAATGTTTCAGATTTTAAATTACGTCCAAAGAGGCGTTTTTTTAACGTTTTGTGTGTTACCTTTATTTATTAAGTATCATGTTCTTTGCACTTAAACCATAAAATTTAATTCAATAGCAATGTCGCAAAATAATTTTAAAATGAGCATATCTTTAGAATTTCCGATACACTAGAGTTCGACGCGCTAGAGATAAAAAGGTTCCCCCCCCCTCTTGCAGAGTATTGCCGTTGCTCGCTTTTAAATCGTTGAGTTTGTTACTCAAAAATTTACAAAATTTTACAAAATATGAAATCGATCATAAAACCAATTCCAATTTTCAAATTTGGGATTTCAGATGCCCATATTCGCAGTAGGATTACGTCATTCAAAATTGGATGGTTCTAGATACCGTTGTTTTATCACAATGCGAGAAATATACATACATTTATGCAGATTTTTCATTATTTAATTTCTTCAAATATAATGTAGGACTTCCTTTGGACTTAAAAAAGGGGGGGGGGAATTCTGACTTCAGAGAGAAATTATGCTTATATCCTTTAGTAGTAAACAAATAATAATTAAGAAATAGGATTATCATGAGTATCAGATTTTATTAAAGGTTCTATAGCGCAACGTTTCCACATTAAATATCCTCACACGACTCTTTTAAATTTAGGAAAATATAATGAAAACGCTTAAATGTTTTTCAGCATAGGTTGAAAATTAATGCACGGCTGACATACATTTCTTTGATATTAATAAACGTCTTTCAGGCTAAATGCGTTCTACGAAAGAAGCTACGAAGCTTTTACAGGAAGTAAGCAATGTATATTTAATAGCAAAGCTGACGGTAATGTGACTAGGACCTAAATCATCCTGCTCTGCCGAATATAGCCATACTCATATTTTTAACTTTTAATGTGCATACTATTTGTTCAATAACTTTTTCATATCGTATTTAATTCATTTGAACCTTAGTGTCCCGCGCAAGTATATCTGGAAAATACTAATTCAGGGGGTAGGTTAAGCTAGACATACACACACACAAGCACGCGACAAAAATTGTAGCATCTGAAATGCTTTTCCATTAAAATCCATTCCAAAAAACAAACAAGTCGTATCTATTCAGTAGCTCATAAATAAAGACGCGCAGCACTGTCTGTTTTACCGCAATCAATTATCGGCAGACAAAGCGTTCTGCCTAAAAGTATTTATTTATTTAGTGTATTTTTTTTTTTTTTTTCCCCTCCAGATGTGTACTACTGTTAATATTGTTAGTTTTTCAGAAAATTCCCGAAAACAAAATCCCTTCAAGTGGATCGATCTTAACTAATTTAATTAATTTAATTCCTTTTGAAGTACTATCTCTCTTCTCTCTATAACTGATTAATATTTTTCTTTTTATATATCAATTTTATATATCTTACTGCAAATTATAAAGTATGATTCAAATTTAAAAAGTTTTATTTGCCTTTCGAAATTTAAAATGCAAATTTATAATTTTAATTTTTAATAAACAGTAGTTTAAACAGAATTCGTAACGTATGCTCATGAATGTGATTCCTTAATTAATTAATAAACAACAGACAACAACATTTTCCTATTAATTGTATACCACATTGAACTTCGAATTAAAGATAAGCATGGACTTATCTTTAATTCGAAGATGTGTCTGCATTCATTTCCAGAAGTAAACAATGATTATGTTAATAGGAAGAAGAACCGTAATTTTAAAGCAACGTTTACAGGCAATACTTAAAATCTATCATTCAGTCCTTAAATAAGGGAAAATGACAGCATTTTTCTGTTATAGCGGGAAAACTGTCTTCATAAAACACCGTTTTAAAAACTCACCTGCTTCGCTTTAAGTGGCTTCCCAGCAATACACACGTTGTGACAGTTACTTGGCGCCAATATATAACGAATGGCAAACACTTAACAAACACGGTGACGTTATCCTGATTCCTCCAATGACTGACTCATTACCAGGAAAAATATATCGATAAGTAAATAATATGATTCTTACTTAAATTGCCGTTTTAATTTACATTTAATTCATTTCTTGTTCTTTTTTTTAATACTGCAGTCTTTTATTAGTTTAACTAAAATTATTTCGGCAGTTGTATTTATAACTTTTAAATGTATCGAGTGTTTTGCCTGGTATCGGCGATTCAAAGTAATGGCGGCTTCAGTCGTTTGGATTAATAGGTATGATGCATCTTGACAACTTATATGCGCACGGTCTTATTTTAAATTTACTTAGAAGAAAGTTAATTTATTTATGACGTTTTCTTTCAAAAGAAATTTTTCGGTAGCAGAATTTGCATATGTGGAAGTGCTTAAAAAAAAAAAAGATGATAATGTTTGCATTGCTTTCCTGTTTCGATTATAACTGTAATAGAATAATAGTGGTTATTTTTCGGTAGTAACCGTAATATATGCTTCTTTGTTTTTGTCTGAAGTCAGAGAATAACTTTTCGTTAGCAAATGAGTATCATTTTTTAGTATATAAGTAATTAAAGGAAGTGTAGTTGAGAGTATGTTTTAATGTAAATGATTGCTAATAATGTTCTTTAAATGAGCTAGGAATTTATTTTTTTATTTATATTTTCTTTGTTATTTTTATAGTATGAAATGCAATTTTTCCTACATGTTTAATGAGTTCTAAAACTGTCTGGACAGCGTTTAAAGAGAAGAATTATATTTATTGTCCACAGTATGACAACTAGCCAACAGTTGTCTATGATATTTGTCATAAAGTAAACTTACTTCATCTCAGAGATATACGATAATTTGTTAAATTGAATATAGTTTATCTTAATTAAAGGCTTTAAATAATCTTTTCTATGAATTGTCAGTTGAATTATTAATTACTGTCATAATAATCTGTGATAATATTTTTGCCTTTAAAAGTATCTTTAGAAAAAGGCATGCTAAATTTTTTAGTTGTTAAAGTATGTTGTTATGTTATTTATCATCTATATTACTTTATCTCGCATACAATCTTTAATTTATTTTTCCAATTATAAATATATTAACATGCTTAGCAATTTAAAAGCAATAAATAATGTTTCTTATAATTAAATCTTTTTTTTAATGCTGTAAAATTTTGCTTCCCTAAAATGATACTGATTCAGTAAACAGAAAATATTTAATTAAAGCAATAAGAGAATTTGCAATACCTGAAAAGCTTATAAATTTTGTCACCATTACTCTTACTGAGACAAAACTTAGGGTTAAAATTCAGAATAATCTCTCAGAGCCTGTTGTTCTTTCAAATGGGCTCGAACAGGGTGATGCACTGGCCTGCTTGCTTTTCAACCTAGCCTTTCAAAAAATCATAAAAGACTCCCAACATTAATACACGTGGAACTATCTTTAACAAGTCTGTTCAGATTTTCACGTTTGCTGCGATATTGACATAGTCACATGCACTCCTGAATCACTTAGACAGGCTTTTACACCTCTAGAGGCTGCATCTAGCAATCAGCCAAAATAAAACTAAGTACATGCCTTGTGGTAATAACAGCAACCCCTATTTTGGAATTGGGAATTACAGATTTGAAACTGTTAGCAAATTTAAATATTTAGGAATCGGAAGTTAATACTCTAAATGATTTAATGCCTGAGATCACAGATGCTAACCAATATAGTGTCACAGATAACCAATGTTTTTTCGGGCTCCAAAAAATACTTGAAGTTTAACTTCACTAACAGAAAAACGAAGATTCTAATTTACAAAAGCTTAATCAGACCCATTCTTACATACTCTGCTGAAACCTGGGCAATGACAGAAAAAGCTAAAAGTATCATTTCTGTCTTTGAAAGAAAAATTTTGAGAAGTGTTTTTGGTGGTATAAAATGTAACAATATCTGGAGAAGAAGAACTAACTCTGAATTCTATAAATCTTTTAAAGAACTAGATATAGTAAAATATATAAGGATACAGAGAATTAAAATGAGCAGGACACCTGTGCAGAATGGATGAAAATCAAGTAAGTAAAAAAAATTCTCGGCCAGACCATTTGGCACGCGAAAAAGAGGGAGACCTAAACTTGGGTAGCTCAACTGTTTGGAAACATACTTGAGAATTTTAAAAATAACTAACTGGATATCCATGGCCAAGGATAGAAGAGCTTGGAATTCGATTCTGAGGAAAGCAAGGGCCCATCCTGGGCTGTCTGGCCATTGAAGAAAATGATACTGAGTAGCATTGAGTGGCTAAGTCCTAAAAAATCAATCATCTGCATTTTTTAGGCGTGATATTTTTTGCAAGCTTCATTATTTAAAAACTAATATAGAGTTTGTGATGAAAACATGATTTCAAGCTATTGTATGCAAAGACAGAAAACTGCAAAAGTCACTTTTCGCCTGTAAATATTTTGTTTCGTATTAATTTTTAGTATGAAATTGTTCCATTGTTTTGAGCTTTACTGCTGTTTAGTTAAGTTAGTTTTATTTTCTTCATTGTTTATCATGCCTTCATCCGCTAATTGCTTCACAAATTCAATTATAGCTGAAACGACAGAAATTTCTGAATCACCTTGGCTTTTTACTAAAGTGCAAATGTAAAAAATTGATTACGAATTTCATTCAGTATAAATCTAATCAAAAATCTTCCAATCATGTTTCAAAAATTCTCTTAAACTGCAAACTAGCCTTGCTTTGGTCCATCATAAGAGATAAACATCAACAGTTATCCAAAATTGAACATGAGCTATATAAGCTTCATTTGGAACTTGCTAATTCGTATTCAAAATTCACTACCATTGAACAAAAGTCCTGGTCCAGAACTGAGAATGAAGTTAACTGCCATAAAAACACCCTTGCATTTAAATTCTACAACCTTCTTTCACAGTCTAGTGTTAGTTTATCAGAAGAACAAGAGAGAATTCTGAAATAAATTTTAAATTCTCACAAACCTTAAAACTTTCGATTCCAAAGACTTTGGCTCCTATTAAAAGAGCTTTCAAATTCAGTAAAGTTTCAGATACACCGAAAGAAATGTTTAAGCATCTTATTGTCCATAACGTGAAATTCAACACGAATCCTTTGAAACCAAATTTAAATGCCAGAGAAAGTACTAGAATGCACTAACTCATTTTAACCTGGACATTATCATTTCAAAGGTCGACCAAGGTGGCCAAATAGTCGTCATGGACAAGAAAACTTACATTGATGGTGTGACTAAACTCTTAAATGAAGGACCATATAATCTGATCCCTAAAGACCCTTCACCTTCGAACCTCTCAAAAACCCCATCTTAAAGCAGGAATATCGGTGAAAAGGGTGTAGGATTTTTCAATATTTTAAATGATTGGATGTTGGGACTTTTAATGTGGTCTTGCAAGCTATCCAGCCAAAGAAAAAAAAGTTGCAATTGAAGCTTAGTTTAAAATGGCTACTAAAGAGGAAGATTATTGAAGGTAGGTACACAATTTTAAGTCAGTTTTCACTGAGTATTTTGTCATTAACACAACTAATAAGTAATTTTAAAATTTTGAATAATAAAATTAATGTTTTAATATTTACATATTTAATTTTAAGATGGTATCTATGCTTTTATCCCTTTGCAGTGTATTTGATAATTAGCCTTCATCAGTTGTGTATAGTTGTATTTTTGTGTGTTTTTGATGCTGGTATAAAAAGGAATTTCATTAAACGTGTAAATTTGTTGTGTTCAAAAATAGAAAAAATTATAACTTAAATTAAAGATTGTTTTTCTCGGTTAAATAAATAGTAGTGTAAATGCTGTTTCTTAGGAGAGTTTTTTTACGTTAATTAGTAGTTAGGGGAGCCTACTGCGATACCGAAAAGCCCGGGTTTGAATCCCGCCGAAGGCATGTCTGTAATTATCCGTCCCTTCACAGGAGGTAATGGTGGTCCATCTATTAGGCGCTTCCACATGAAAGTGGCCACCACTGCTGACCTTAGTAGTGGCCAAGCTTAAGGCGGCTGGATGCTCGTTTGTGGTGGTGGTGGTGGGGGGAATAAACACTTCTCTTCCCTGTTTTAATTTCAGTGCATAATATATAGCTTTTGATTTCACTGGTTGAGATATACTGTGAAAAAGGTTTAACCCGAAAACGTGCAAGACGAAATATCAGTTAACACGAAATACTATTAGGTTGTCCAGAAAATAATGCAGGCTTTTAACCTATATCTTTAACTCAACTCAGAAACAATTTTATTAATCAAAATAAGCACCAGCCAAATGAATGTATTTTTGCCAGTGAGATATGAGTTTATTTATGACTGTAGAATAAAATTCTGGACGAGATAAAGTTTTCAAAGGCGTTTTTGACTTTGTCTTGGTTTCTGAAGCATTTCTTCTGCATAATGTTATCCAGATATTTGAAAAAGTGGTAATCGGTCGGCAAGAAGTCAGGCAAATATGGGGAAAGAGGTAATCTTGTATCCCAATTCGTCCAATTTCTGTAGGGTCAGTTGCATGACGTGCGGCAGAGCATCGTCATGAAGAACTGGCCACTTTGTTAACCAATGCCGAGCACATGCTTTTCAATTTTTGGTGCATTTCATTGATTTGCTGACAGTACTTATTTTCCGTAATCATTTCGTCCAGATTTAGGAAGCTGTGGTGGAAGAGACTGGCCTCAGACCACCAAACAGTCACCATAATTTTCTTTTGGTACAAATTTGGCTTTGGAAAGTGTTGTGGTGTCTGACTGAGGTCCAACCACTGAGCTGAATGTCGCCAGTTGTTGGAGAAAATCCACTTTTCATCGCGCATAACAATTCGATCTAGAAAAAGGTCATTTTTGTTGTGGAGAAGAAGAGCAGACAACATTTTGGAATGGCAATTTTTTTTTTTTTTTTTTAATTATTTTCACTCAATATGTAAGGCACCCACTTATCGAGCTTCTTTGACTTTCCTATACGAGTCAAGTGATCAGAAATCGTTTTGCTTACGCCAAGCTCTCGAACAGTTATGCACGGGTTTGTTTCAATTAAAGTCTTCAAATCATCATCATCAACAGCTGAAGAGCGTCCACAATGCTCTTGATCTTCCAGGTCAAATTCTCCACGACGAAACTTTTGATATCACCGTTGAACTGTAGATTCGTTAACACTTTTCTCACCCTATACTTCGTTGATTTTTTGAGCAGTTTGTGCTGCACTGTTGCCTAGCTTGTACTCATAAAAGTAACTTTGCAGAAAATCCCATTTGACATTTAAACAAAAACACCTAGTAACTATTTTTGAAAATAATTTTGTTCCAAAATTATTATAGAAATATAGAGCTTCAAAATGATATATAAACCAATGTAATTCAAAATATTTTTGTTGCTAAAAATGTACAGGAAAGATAAAAAATTGCAAAAACCTGCATTATTTTCTGGACAACCTGATACAATGGTCCTGATAAACTACTATGTATTTTCTTGCATTTTTTCCTTTTAACACGAAACGAAAATCGCCTAACACGAAAAGATATTCCCTTCTGGGAAGGAACAAAATATGGAAAACGCCAGCTTTGCCAGTGAGATTTAAGAGATGTGGGAAATGAAAGAGACGTGTTTTGTAGAAAGGAGGCTAACTTGGCTTTGAAATACCTTCGGAATTAGCCTGTGACATGAACCAATTTTGTTTAAGCTACTTTCACCCTCCATCCCTACAAGCGCCACACAAGAACATCTTATCTCTCATCATTTTGGCTTTGGAATTCGATCAGGAGTACATCGTAGTGTGTGTAAAAATCTGTGAATTTCGTTCACGCCAAAAGAAATGGAGAAGGGGAATATTGAAACTGAGCCAAAACTTTCTAATGAAATGTTTGAGAAAGTTTCTGTATTATTGGACTGTCCTACTGTATCATCGGAAGAATTCGTTGCGGTAGATAATGATAATGTGTGTACAGCCCCAGTTATGGCAGACAAAGACATTTTGGAGTTTGTCCAAAGTTCAAAAAATATCATTGATGCAGATTCAGATGATGCAAATGAAATGAGTAAATGAGTAATGTAGCTCCTGTTCCCACATCATCTGAAATGAGGAACAACATGAAAAGTATGTGCAGTTATTTAGACGTACATTCCAATAGTGAATGAATAACAAAGTGAATGACATCAAATAATTTGTGGACTATTTTATGCTAAAAAAAGACAATGCAAAGAAAAATGTCAGATTATTTTCCAAAACCTCAATAAATGTTTTATTTTTCTAAAAAGTTGAAAATTTTATATTAAGTTCTTGTGGATGTTTTCGTTTCATTGATTTTTATAAAATATATGCATATATACATATCTGCGTAAATAAAACATACTCTAATAATCTTAATTTTGTTGACTTTTTTTTTTTGTAATATCCTTTAAAACGAAAAAGTATTTCAGTCCCCTCTTTCATGTTAAACGATTTTCATTGTCTCTTGCAGTACTGAATAGTTTGATTGTTTACTTATATTAGTACGTTAAAATATAAACTTTCTTGAATATTTTCATTCCCTGCTTTTAATGTAAATTTTTGCTAGATTTCAAAACTTTTGTATTTCTAAATAGTTTACCATCTGTAAATGAAACTTCTTTCTGTTTCAATTCAATTTCAAACAGAAGAATTTAAATAAAAATTGTTTGTCGTCTAAGACAAAATATGATTTTTGGTTGATCTTTGGATTATGGTAACTTGGCGATTTTTTGGCGACCAACTCTGCTACAGCAAACCTCTGTTTTTTTTTTTTTTTTTCGCCGCCATTTTGTCTTCACGAAGTAAGGACATGTTTCTTTTCTTTTTATTTACTCAACACTTTTTTCAACAATCTACTAGCCGAATTACACTTATGCTAGAAATTTTATGGAACAAAACTGCTTAATCATGACAAATATTCACTGCAAAATTGGGAAAAAGTGGCAGAATCGCAAACTCCTTGCCGCGTTTTTCAAAATAACGCACATACACAGTAACCATGTACACGTCGACTTATTTTTACTTAAAAAAACATCCCAGAATTGCACAAAAATGGCATTGCGCACACTCTTCACTATATCCATGTACAACTGCTATTTTCTCATAAATTACAAAAATTTCACGAAAATGCAGGAAAATTTTGTGAATCTTTAAACTCGGTAAAAAGCACATATATGAAATTACCTGATCGCGAAAAAGTATATACCCTAATCCAAGAATGAACATTTCCACGTATAATATAAATAAAATATCCAAAAACTTTTACCTCTAAATTATCTATTATAAACGTCACCAACGAATTCATAACAAAAATTAAAAATGGTTACAAATACTTAGTGTCAAATATTTAAATTATTTCCATGCACGTTTACTTCAACTCAAACGTATACCAAATTCCTACAAACATATAAATTCACAAAATAACTATCATTTAATTAAAATATCACTAAACCATGTACATGTCGACTTATTTTTACTTAAAAAAAAATCCCAGAATTGCACAAAAACTGGCATTGCGCACACTGTTCACTATATCCATGTACACTGCTTTTTTCTCATAAATTAGAAAAATTTCACGAAAATGCATGAAAATTTTGTGAATCTTTAAATTCGGTAAAAAGAACATATATGAAATTACCTGATCGTGAAAAAGTATATACCCTTTCCAAGGATGAACATTTGCACATATAAAATAAATAAAATATCCAAAAACTTTTCCCTCTAAATTATCTATTATAAACCTCACCTACCAATTTCTAATGCAAACATTAAAAATGGTTCCAAATACTTAGTGTCAAATACTTAAATTCTTTCCATGCACATTTACTTCTACTCAAATGTATTCCAAAATACTACAAACATTAACTCTCAAAATCATGATCATTAAATTAAAATATAATTAAATTAAAAAACACTACTTAAAATATAAATAAGCACATACATTAAATTAATAAAAATTAGCTTACAATCCTAATTACTTTAAACTAAATCATTGCTAATAACAATTTTCCAATAATACCATATTAAATTTACTACTTACATTTAGAACAATGCATAAAAATAATATCCTCAAATAATTAAAAATACTAACTTACCTTATCTTCTACAGAAACTTGAGTGCATGGCGGATCACAAAATGTCCATTTTCACCAGATTTCTTGCACCGCCATTCAAACTTATCTAACGCCATTCAAACTATCTGTAATATCCTTCCTTTCACACAATCTCATTTCATACCCACATGTTGGAAATTCATATTTATCCGCAATTAAGCAATTCTTTTCAATTACACATAAACGGAATAAAAATTTTGGATTTACTTTAATAGGGCCATGGGATCCAAATATTAAACAACGCTGTTTCACAGAACATAGAATGAAACTAATGCTGTACAGCAGATATTTTTAAAAATTTACACCCTTTTCCGATTAAAGAACATTGATTCATCCATTAATGTCACATGACATATCTCATGATCTCTCATTTCCCTCACACAAAATCAGCCTGATTTTTATATACTGTCATAATTTTTTGTTTTTTAATATCTATCTCGTAAATGTTAGTATTTATAGACTAGAAAGGATGCTGAATTAATTCTGCAACTGCAACATATAGCAAATTGTCAGATCTTGGTATTAACAAAGGATTTTAGCAAGAGGGAAAATAACCTTTTTTTTTAATTCAGTCTCAAACTCGCAGGGTGTATGTGGCCTGCTGAAGCAATTTTATGTGTCTTACGAATACATTGCAATTATGTATTTGTTGCATATACGATGTTTATATAATTATAGAGATATAAAAATATGGGTTGAGGGTATGTGTATAATTGCTATTGAAGGAAAAAAAATAAAATGAGTATGTTTGGGATTTGTTATTGTATGCTTATATGCCAGGCCATGTAACTAGGAAAAGATGGGAAAGTTTCTCACATTGCTACAGTCAATAAATTTAGTTTGTCAGCCGAGAGCTGATGGTGCTTCAGCCAAAGAATATGTATTGACGTTCTTTGCTTCCGCATTCTGAAATTTTCAATTAAGGTTAAAAGTAAATTATTCAATGGTTAATTCAACATATTGGAATTACCTGAAATAAATGCCTGTCTAAAATTATTTAGCTGTCAATTTGTTTGATTTCCAAAGTATAAACAAAAGAAATTTTGGTGCATACCTTTAGACTTCATGTAGAAAATAAATAATATGAATTTTTTCCTTAGTACTATTTGCCCACCAGCAGTAGTGGTAAAAGTCATTGAACACTGAGGTAGTTCTTAATTATTGGTACTTCTCGGTTTTCATGGCCCCCATTATCTAAACGGCGCCAAGATTATCACCAAATTTAAACTACTCGCATATATGTTTTCGCTGCCATATCTTCATGATTACTTTTCTTATGGAATCAAAAGGCTTATCTTTCCTAGAGGATTTCCACTACATGAATTCCAAAAGATATGGCTCTAGATGATGTCTAGCCGTACCCCTTTGCTTTTTGTTTTGCCATTTAATAGAGCCCTACATTCTTTTCATATTTTGGGTGTGAGCATCCTTTGTTAAATCGACAAAATTAAATTTCTAATTATCCATTAAATGTCTGTAACTATTCTTTTCAAGCTCGCGTATTTTATAGGTTCCCCAACAATCTGAATATATTGTTGATGCTTCCAGTGCATGATCTACAGTCGTTGATATCATTTCATTTCATATTTCTTATTTCTGAGGTTACAGCTCAGTCATTGATATCAGTGCGCTTGCTTCAAAATTTGGAACCTGAACAAGAACGCACTTGCCACTTTCATGGCATAACCCGCCGAATATCAACTGTTGGTCCCTGTGCATGCTTTTTCTGTTGCCGCATGAAAAAACTTGTCAATTTCAACCATTTTTTTGGGGGGCCTATTTATTTGTCCTTTAGGTTGTCGAAGTAAATCTAGTGAACAAATCTCTCTCATAAAATTGTTCCAATCAATCATGGTATTTTGAGACATATTGAGTTGTTTATCGCACCACTAGCGACATTAGTTCCTGTTTCTAATGGTAAATGAAATGCAACACTGTTAGTAATGCTATTCTGGAACCACTAAACTTAGTTGTCAGATCGATTGCTCATTTTTTGTTCACAACTTTTCATATTATACCCCCAAATACTTTCTTTTACATATAATTTCATTTTATGGCCACTTATGCATATTCGATTGCAATGCAATATATCTTTTTCCCAGTAAAACGATACAGGGTCTTCCTCATTTCTTGGCAAATTAAAAAATTGTCAACTGTTTTTTACAGTGTTTACATTGGAAAAAAAAAAGACTACTACGGTATTACGCTGTTCATCAGATTCAGAAATCGAAAGTGAAAGTATTATCTTTTACATAAATATTTAAATTGAAAAATATTAGTATGATATCGCATGCTCGTCAGATTCCGCAACTAGAAGTCAAAAGTGAAGGTAAAAGTAAAAATGTTTTACATAAATGTTTAAACTGAAGACTGTTATGATTTCACTCAGTTTACATAATTTGGCAATTTATCGCGAGGCCGTGAAAACTAAGTAGTACTGAAATTTCTTGCAGATATTAATCTTTTAGGCTTCAGATAGAAAATAAACATATAATTTTAAATTTTGTCCTTAGTGCTTTTTCCTCACCAGCTGAGTCGTAAAGTCGCTGAACACTGGTAGTTCAATTCCAGGCAAATTGACTGGCTGCATGGGTGTTTTTATGGCTTTTCTCATGTGTAGCACAGATATGAGCTCGTTTTCCTTAAAAAGTTTTCCACGAAGGCATCCCTCTCCTTCACGATAGTATTTATGTGCTTTACCATAGTCAGATAAACATGAACTGTTGTGCTGTTTTTACTGTTTATGCATGCTCAGTAAGTAAAATTTGAAATGTGTTATTTACTTATGCTAATTTTTTTTTTTTTTTTTTTTTTTTAGTTTTAGCCCATCAACTGCTTTCAGATCATGCATTTGGTCCATGTATAGTTTGGGTTTGACACCACTGCAGTACAGTATACGATGATAATAATTCAAAGGAGGCCAACGAGCCTTCAAAACTGATACAAAAAAATCGGAGCCTAAAACAGAAAACTTTCTTATACTATGTTAGTAACAATTTTGAAAGGTAAGTGAAAGGATTGAAATCTTTATTTATAATAGTAAAATATTCTGTTTGTGAAGTTCATAATTTGTTATTTTATTTATTACAGTGTTTGTCTGGATTAGGTTTCATCCAGACAATTGGAGAAACTTGAACAAACTAGAAGAAATAAATAATGATAACACCCCCCATTGGACTGCCAAAGGGGGAGAATTTGCTAATAGCAATGTAACTTACTTGAAACTAAATGTTTTATTATTTCTGCTATAAAATGCAAATTAAATAACATTCCTTAAAAAAAATCAATGAAATTGTGAAATAATTGTTATTTATTTACAGTATGTTACACCATGTATCATGATGCGAGTTCAGTTTTTTTTTTTTTTTTTTTTTTTTTTTTTTTTATAATTCATTCAATTTCATGTTCTTTCTTGATAGATGTTGATTTTCTATTTTTATTGCTATTATTACCTGAAAGTTAGTTTTGAAATCTATCCAAACTCACACATGTGAAAGCAAGATCTCATAGGAAATTAAAGGTGTACCTATTCGCACTTACTTATTATCAAAAAAAGTTACACAAATGTAGCTAGAAATACATATAATGAAAATATTTAAATTGATTAGTAGTCAATTTAAATATTTTCATTACTTCTATAGTAAGTAGTATTAGTAGTAGTATAGTAGAATCGCATATTAATAAATTAACAAACATATTATTGTTAAATAAGTAAAAAAAAAAAATCATTTCTTCTAGCTGATTTTCTGCACTACCAAGGAAACATGCTAAACCTATTAAAAGTACATCTTTTCTGAAATTTGACTTAATTCTGATGCTATTTATAATACATAAAGTCTTGTTTGATGCAAATGAATGTTATTTCTGATGAAATTATATAGTGTAAGGGGAATTAAAGTTCAGCAGAATTAGAGCGAATTTTCTCCTCTCTTGAATTTATTCATTTGTCACCAAACTGTTTTGTTACATTGTTTTTATGATGTAGATTCATTTTTGTAATTTAATTTTCTCTTTCTTTCTCTTTTCATTGTCTTTCCTTCTAAATAATTTTGCTATGAATATAAACAAATTCAGTTTCAGCATCTGTCTAAATTCACAGATATGAAAGTGTACCCAAAAATGCATATACATACATGTAATAAAAACAGATTTACACTTAGTAGGTCCATATTGAAGAATTCTGATTGTGTAGTATGCTAATAATCTAAGAAGCTTGGCAGTCAAGGCAAATTATATTCCATTTTTTTTTTTTAAATTGACATTTGTGGCCACAATTTACTTGGCACTCTAATCGTGCCTGTTTCCAGAACATTTGGTAAAAGTATTTTTATGGGTACCCCTTGGCGATTTTTGGTGGTATATGGATACTGAGTTTGTGCAATTCTTTGACTTGTTATTTTGGCTTTGTATAGCTCCAAAAAATTGCCGCTACACAAAGACAAAATAGCAAGTCAAAGAATTATACAAACTCGGTATCCATGTACTTTCTCATTGTTTTACTACATTTTTAACCAAACAATAAAATAACATAAAAAAGGAAAAACCTCTTATTCATCTAAGCACTACACAAAGCAAATATCCACTTACCTTATTTAGGCATTTCTTCATCTTCAGTATGTGGCACACATAATTTCTCAATAGCATCCAAAAACTACCTAAAATTACCTGAACTTGAATCCATATATCGGCGTTGCCACATAAATAAGAGTAAAAAGTATCCTTCAAAGTTCCGGACTGTCCGGAAAATGGCTACTAAGTAAACCTTCATTTATACACCAGTCAATTAATACTCTTTTCCCTTTTTGTTCCAAATCATACAGAAGCTTCAAATTAATCTTACTACATTCAGTCATTCTACTGTCTAAACAACAAAACAAGCAATGTACTTCGTTACCAATGCACATTGCCAGCCCTTACAAAACATCCCATAATTCAAAATTTACTGCAATCAAGGCAACCAATTACATCATAATAGGGTTTCCATAACATTCAACTACTCAGGTTACCATAAATAAAACAACAACTTAATGATAAATGAAACAACAACTTTGCAATAATAAAAGGGGTATCCTTCAGTGTACTCTAACTGAACATTTATATTATTGCAATAGGAAGTGAGCATGACACTCAGGTTACCATAAATAAAACAACAACTTGGTGATAAATGAAACAACAACTTTGCGATAATAAAAGGGGTATCCTTCAGTGTACTCTAACTGAACATTTATATTATGAGTGAAGCATGACAAAATTGCATCCAAGCAGATCCAAGCTGAAAGTATGCAATTATCCAACAGGGAAGCTCGCCAAGAGAGGTTTTGGTTTAGGTTAGAAAAGTTTTAGTTCTCAAAATTTTGAGAGTCACAGTGCTACGCAAGGCATGCAAGATGGATTGATCTAGAAATGATGCAATCCGAAGACGTTATAAAATTTTTTAGAATAAAGAGGAAATAACTGAATTAAAAAAGAGGAGTTAAGAGGCTACTACTAAATTAAATTATAAAGCTTATTTACATATTAGCTTATGTACATATATATATATATATAATGTCATGACACAAATTAAATCCATCATAGTAGAAAACTTATTAACAGGAGCAGAAACAAACGAAACAATACATCGCTAATCCATACAGTAATAAATAATAGTTGAAAGAAGAAGCAGCCAAATGAATTTTCAACATCGTCACGTTTTTGAATTATATCTGGATGTGAATCAAAATTAATTAAAAAATTAATACTTTAAATTAATGACTGCTAAATTTTTTAATTAATTTTTATTAACATCCTGAATAATTCCGAAATGAACTCTGTTGAAAACTTTTGGCTGCTTGAAAAAGACCAAGGCATTCTCAACTGTTAATTATCAATATTATATGAATATTGCTGTATTGACTTAGTTTTTTTTTTCCCTGTTCTTCTTGGTAAGTTTTACATTGTGAAAGATTTAATTTATGATTATTAACTTTTGAATATGTAATTAATTTCACAGCATTTTGTTCGACTTTATTAATTTTTCCAAATTTCTAAATTGTAATATATATATGTTACAGAAACAAAGTTTATTGTAAGCATATAAATGATGCTTCTTAAATTAGCTAAAAAATGAAACTGTTAAGTTACAATCAGACATCTCTATAATGAACCCCTAGATATAATGAATGAATTTTTTTCATTCCTTTCAGTTTCCTGTACACTTAATGTTATTTTTATTGCTTTAGTGAACCTCATAAGGTATGGAAATCGGTAGATATCTAGGATACGGAACTCTGTAGTTGTCTTCAATTGAAATTTTTTTAATCTTTTTCATATTTTTCCGGAATTTCTGCAAGTTTTAACAAAAAAATTATTAACCCTTAAAATCATTCACATACAAGTTAGAATCCACATTATTTCCGTAAAGGAAAACATCTTCATGTTACTTTTATTTTATGTTCAATCTCATTTTTCTCTGTTTTTTCCACAAAGGCTATGTGAAACAAGTGTGACACCCAATCTAAGAACGAGGACACACCTGAAGGCATTTTTATATATGGTGTATGTGACCATTGAACTAAAGAACCTAAATAGCCTGTCTAATTCTGTTCAGATTCTTTGACTGAGTTATCAGACATGGCTTTTTATTTTATGTTAGGATAGAAATTTTGAAATTTTCACTATTCTGAGAAAAAGGAGGGCTTGCTTCAGATTCATGATGCAACGTGATTACTTACAGGCTCAGCTTTTTAGATTTGGACTTGCTGACTTCCCAAACTGAGTGCTCCTTCTCTAATGACCAGACAGCATATTTTTCTTGTACTGCTTTGCAAGATGTTCTTTCATCAGACTTCTTTATGACTCTTCCAACTATAGGGGCAATTTCCTTTATTTATTGGACTACAAGGCACCATATGCTCGAAAAAGTCTAGGTGGGCATAATTAAAGAAGAAAGTAGTGAAACTTAAGAGTTCAGATTGAACAATTGATTCATCTTTTAGGGAATGAAAATTTTTTATCCTTATTGATTTTTTTTTTAAAGTATGAATGCCATTCAAGTTCCACATTCTGAATGGAGGTTTTGCAAGACATAGGATATTCTTTACAAATATTATTCAGCCTTTGTTTTGCAGCAATACATATCTTAAGTTATAGGTAAATTTTCAATACTTTTTATTCATTTTCATACAAATGTGAAAACATTATTTTTATATTTTATGTGGATAAAATAATTATTCAAAGTTATAAATGTGTAATTTAAGGAAACAGATATTTGTGTTGTAATGTCACTTATTGCATAAAACTGTTATCGTATAACATATTATAAATATTATAATTGTAATTAAAACTTAACAGGATTTTTTTTAAATTTAGATTTATTATTCACTTGTTTTGGTAGAGGTGACATTTTTTTCCCCTCCTGATTCCTTATTCAATATCAAACTGTTGTTCGTTTAAAATCTGGTTTTAATGAAAGTTTCCTGCTACCACAAATATCGTCTGCAGAAACAGTTTGCGTTGGTGTGTTTAATAATTTTTTATCGAACTATTTTTGGCATTTGAATAACTTTAAAAACCTATCTATAGCTTAAATGAGAAGTAATATGTTATTCAGTTTTTAAATGAATTTTTTATTCTTTTGCCATATAGATAAAATTGCCAATAATTTTAGGGAGGAAAATGCTTCTGTTATTGGTAATGAGCTTCAAAATAAGTTTTCATACAAACTGGATTCTTTCACCTCAAATATAGAATCTGGTGTTTTCTAGCAATATCAAGATTCCTGTCTCATAGAATTCTTAAGGCAATGTTTCATTTTCTTTTCGTTTGTACAAGCAAATTTCAGAAATCTATTCAATTTTAACATATTTGTTCCAATTTATTTTAAATGTTTTATATTTGAATTCATTTGGTAAGTTTCATGCATCTTTTTATCACAGCATTAAACATTTGTGTATTTTCTTAATTTTTTTTATGATTTTGTTTTGGTTCATCTGCATTATATGGTAAATTTGTTGCTATTTAGAAT